TATCTTAAATTGGTTTCTTCTTCTATTTCACGATCTTTTAAATATATTTTTTTATTTTTTATAAAAAAAATTGCACCGAATATTACAAAAATATTAAGATACCCGAATATGTTTAGTAGGCTTATTCTCAGAAAAAAAAAACAAATTGGCCCGGTATAATTTACACCGTCATATGTAAAATCCTAAAATTATATGTTACAAATCCCTATAAATATAGAATGTCTTTCATGAAACACAAACATCACAGTTTTTATTTTATGCATATTCGTTATAGTTTATAGTTTTTGATTTATACCATAAAGTTGGTCCGTTTTATGATTACATGTTTTGATTTTCATAATTGGTTTGTTATTTTATGTGTGTCTATTATGCTAGTAATTAACACGTTTCTCCAGATCAGGTACATGCATAAACGATTTGGATTGTGAAATTGCAAAGGAAACTCGAATGAAACTAAGGTATTTCTCTAATTCGATTTGATATACACGTCTCAAAAATAATAATTTGTTTATATTTTTTTTTTCTTTTGTCTCACGAGAATAATTACCCTAATAAAAGGATTAATTGTTTCAGTACGATCTAAAATTATCAGATTTTTATGATTTTTTTTTCTTTCGTCTATTTTTTTTTTATAATTTAGATATGATTTCATCCCCGTTCTAAAAATCGGGCACCTAGCCGCCCGACTAGTCGCTCATCGGAGCTTAACCGCCGCGATTTTAGTCAAATCGCTCACAAAATTTGTAACCAATTTATCCGCCGCGTAAAGGCTTAAAATCGGTTTTTTGAACCGATTTTTTTTATAAAAAAAAACTTTGATGAGCTAAACGGGCCTCAATTACACAAAGCCCAGATTTTTAACCGTTAAAAGGTTAAATGTAAAGATACTTTAGATTTTTAAAAGTAACTTCTTAATAAGATTTCTAATAAATGTATAAGCTCATTGTTGTTGAGTTTTGGGGAACCGGTCTTGAGTTCATCCGGAATTTCATTTGGTATCGGAGAGCATCTAAATCAAGTCATGCGAAAAGGATGGACTTCCCCAAAGAGTTTGTAGTTGTACGTTCAATCATGCTTGAGAAAGCTAACTATGGTCACTAGAAGGTGAAGATGCGAGCACTCATTCGTGGACTTGGAGTGGATGTATGGACTGCAACAAATCTAGGATGGGCCCTCCGGTTGTGAAAATTAAAGATCGAAAAACTACTCTGAACCCAGAGGACAAATGGAATGATGCTGAGAAGAGCATTGCTATAGTACTGAAAAGCACTATCTCTGATTTTCAACTCGGTTAGTGAAAACCATTTCAAACATAATCAGAACTGTGACTCTGCTAAAGAAGCTTGGAATAAGTTTGCCAAAGCATATGAGGGGACAAGCGGTGTTAAAAGATCAAGACTAGACATGCTGGCATCTTGCTTTGAAACTATTGCTACAGAGGAATCAGAAACTATCGAAGACTTTACCACAGAAAAAACGGGTATTCTTAGCACCGGAATAGCGCTATATAATGATATGATAGCGTCAAGAAAAATGCAATGCCATCGCCCGCGATAGTAGGTCCGACACATTAGATAGCGGTTTTTTATATTGGTATTGTATCGTAGCTTCAGTGGAAACATATTGGCAATAGCAAGTGAAGCTCAAAATCATGGTAAGAAGTACAAAGATAAAAAAAAAACTGGTGAATTTTTTTGAGAGGTTTACCCTCAAGGTTTGAGAGCAAGAGACGGCTATGGAAACTTCTCTGAATATGAATACAATTGAGTTCGAATAAGTAGTAGGAATAATTCGGGTGTATGAGATGGAGATTATTGCTGGATATAGTAATGCTCTGAGAGGAATAGCGCTTACTTCCTCCAGTGAAAAATATAAGATTCAAGAGCTGAAAGATGAGATAAGTATGATGGCCAAATTATTCAGCCGATCCTTGGGAAGAGTTGAGAAGAAAGGTTTTGTAAGAAATCAGGGAGTTGATAGAGAAAGAGACAGAGACATGGATATAAGTGGAAAGAGGAACGCCATTCAATATCATGAGTGTCAAGGATATGGACATGTCAAAGCTGAGTGCTCCTCCCTGAATAGAATATAACTTAAAAGCTGTGAGTGCAAAGGCATCAGGCACACAAAATTTGACTGTGTGGGTTCTAGATCCAAAAAGAAAAGTTCATACATTGTTGAAAGTGAAAGTGACTCTAAAGATGATGACTCCAAAGATGATGACTCTGAAGATAAAGTTAAGGGTTTTGTGTCCTTTGTGAGAATCATAGAGGAAAAAGATGAAAGTTCTGACAGTGAAGCAGAAAATAGAAATGGAGCCAACTCAACTAATGATGAATCAGACACAGAGAAGCATGTGGACATCGACAGACAATTCAGAAAATTGTATGAAAACTGACTCTTACTGAGTAAGGAGAAGGTCTCACGGATGGAAGAGAAATTAGCACTTCAAGATCAAAATGAGAAGCTGAAAGGAGACCTAGCTTTGGAAATTAAGAAGAACAGTGAGCTGACTTAGAAGTGTGGTTTGGAGGAGAAAAAAATACAGAGCTCTCACACAAGAGTTGAGTGATACTCGAAAGAAGGTACACATGGTGAATAGTGGGACAAAGGATCTGGATAGCATCTTAGCATCTGAGAGAGTTGGAAAATCGAATTTCAGATTTGGCTATCATGGAAGTGAGATAAGTGGGAAGACCAATTTTCTCCTATGTAAGGATGTACATGTAGGTCGTTATAAGTCTCTATCTCGAAAGTACACTAGAGCCGTTCAAGCAAAACATCCGCATTAGAATTAGAACCATTGTCACATATCAGTGACTACTTATGAATGTTACTACTATGGTCGTTATGGTCACATACAGAAGTACTATACATATATGCAACTAAACTGAAGAAGCTACTGAGATAGGGAAGGTTTTATCCACCTCCGAGAAGAGAGTCTAAAGCCTATGTTGCAAAATTCGATATGTACTGCCATGTTGCATATATGTCAGCTAAAACAAGTATGTCTAAGCCTTGGTACTTCGATAGTGGAGCTTCTAGACATATGACATGGAATCAAGCTAATCTCAACATCTACACTGAAGTAAAAGAGAGAAAAATCACATTTGATGGTGGAGCAAAAGGGAAGAATAAGGGCAAAGAGACTTAACTGAAGCTAAAAAACCTCAACTCACCAATGTGTATTTTGTTGAAGGATTAACAGCCAGCCTAATCAATGTAAGTCAGTTGTGTGATGAAGGATTAACATTGAGCTTCAATAAAATGAAATGATGGGCTAAAAATGAGAAAATCCGCAATGCTCTCTCGGGAATCAGTACTGGGAATAATTGTTACACGTGGGAAGAACCTAAAACCAGTTTTAGAGTTGAGATGGATGATCTGGTGTTATGAGATCAACAACTTGGACATATGAATGCTAGAAGTCTCTCAAAGTTAGAGATGAAGATATTATCGTCTTGGACACCCTAAATAGAGGCGATGTCAAGTGTTTTTGCTGGAAGAGAATAAGATATTTAGTTCTTGACAATCAAAGACGAGATAAAAAAAATTGTCCCTCACAAATATATATTAATTGCTGCATTATGGTTTTTAACATTACTATACACTTGCTTATGTTAGGGTTTTATATATTTCTTTGTTTTTATAATTTTTTTATTTTTTAAATTTTCATATCAATAAAGAATTTTTTTTGATTAATCAATAGATCTTTATTTTATATAAATAATAATTTCTGATAAAATTATAAATAGCATTTGAGAAGACAATGTTTGAGTATTTTGTGTATAAAAAAATTAAGATAATTTAAAATGACTGTTATTATTAATTATAACTTATTAATCGCGACCACATTACAAATTTTGAATATGTAAATATGGTAAAAGATAGGCTATTAACCTCAGCTGAAAATATGCTCCTCTTGATGGAGGTGTTCTTAAGACCGCATCATCCAGGCCGAGGAAGATGATTTGTATTTTGATTTATGTTTTATTGTTTGTATTGTGATTTTCCCGTCTTTTTATTGTTTCTATTGTTACTTATGAAATATTCACATATTTCATTAAGAAAACTATGTCTAATGTTCGGAGATTGGTGTTCAAGGTTTTATTTTTTCATCAATCATGACTTTCCCGAAATGGACAAGGATAACTTCAGGTAATCTTCATTTACGTATCACCAAAAAAATATGCTTGCTAAAATTCATTTTTAGTTTTAACTATTTCTTTTTCCAAATAGGTTTGAATATGCATCTACCCTTTATTGGGATGGATTTGGAGAGGTTGTTGATGAGAACTAAAGAATCTTAACGTAAGATAGATGTACAACTACTAAAAATCTTGGTTTTAAGTTTGTTATGCTTTTTCTTTTATTTTAAGTGTACTTTTTCAAGAATTTGAATGACTCTAAGTTTGATATGTTTTCTTTTAAGTTGTAATATATTATTAAACATTGGGATGTTCTTATTTGTGAGTTCTTTTAGGATTTAGAATTAGAAATATTGAATAAGAAATAAACTCATTATATGTATCACCAAATTGAAAAGAATAATATTCAAAACGTGAAAAAAAACATGATTTATAAAAAGAAAAAATTAATAAAAAATATATACAATTTTTTCAGAGTTTCAGTTGTAGTATATCTGACATTGTATACATATTTTATTCGATATTTGTTGTTCCATTCGATATTAGTATTGCAATTTGTATTAACTTTTCTTATTATATAAAGATTTTTAAATGTGTTTTTATAATTTTATTTGGCCTTGCGCGGGTAACTAACCTAGTATATACATGTACTTACGATGTTGATTATTATCATATCAAACTATACGACAGTATTTAGAAGTAAAGAAAAAAACTATACGCCAGTAGCTATTCTTTAGTGCAGGCAATAAGAGCATTTTATCTTCTAATACCTTATTTTATCTAATACCTTTTTAAACTTCAACCATATCTTATAGAAACTCATGTTTGTCTACCATTTTTTCCGTAAACTGATTTCTAATAGAAACACAAACTTTTATCAACCAAAGATTAATTAAATCCACAAATTTCCCAAGGAAAATCATTGTTTAAGCTTCGCAAAATTTAAATAAAAGCTTACAACATCACAATACTTGAACAAATCGATAGTAAATCTAAAGTCAGAGTAGCCGAAACAACTTGGCTCTGCTTCAGCTCCTGATTCTATCTAGATCTTTCGATTAGATCAAATGAGAAACCAAACTCCAGAACAAGACTCAAGATCATGCGGGAACGAACCACGATATCTTCAAGAACGAAACATCTAATGGTTTAGACCATGTGATTGTACTTGTCGTAAGATCGAACACACCGCAATAAAGTTGTGTGTTGGGATTATACGGATAACTTCCTGGCCAGAGATCTTCACCGGAGAAAAAAATTGAATCACTCTTGATTCCCAAACTACTAATATCTTTCATTGGTGCTCTAATCGTGACCCCATGACCAAATATCAACATCTCACCTCCAAGAGAATCTACTCTTTCCCAATTACTTTTCTCCAAATTCATCTTATAGATATAAAACAAACGTTTATTTTCCAACCCTTTCAAGCTCACGATCATCAAAACCTCTCCAAAGCTAGTAACCGCCACTCTCTGCTTCCAATAATGTTCCCAAGGTTGGGAAAATTGGCGAAAGCGAAACGGATGGTTACGGTACGGGTTTTCTTCGACAATCTCTTCAGGGGAATCACTAGATATATCAAAAATCTTGATGCAACTATATAATGTATACACATAAAGCTTGTAGTCTTTATTACAAGCAATATACACACACTTTGTGTCTTCAAGACTCGACCATGAATCATCTCCTTTCTTGTTTATGAATAAGTGGTATTGGTTATAACTCCAAGCAACAACATAATCCTTTGTTGTTTCATCTATCCAAAGACAAGCTTGTTTTTTCGCAGAAATTATGTCGGTAGGCTCGACGAAATGTGCTTGACCAAGACCAATAATCGATGACTCTATGGATGGAAGATTGATTCTCTCACGAGTGAACACGTTTATGAGAAAAAAATCTACATTATAATCAATCATCAAGAGCCAATTGCTGCAGCTAGTAAGAACATACCTATCCGAAAAGTCGATTCCGGGATGTTGAATTTCGTGATTTTTGTTTTCTTCAGGGACAAAGAGCAAAGTTGAATTCTCTTTGAATAGGATTTGCCATGGAAACAGATTTATAGGTCGCTTACAAGTTCTTGAAATGGTATACCAGTTTGAGCAAACACTACTCGCTCGATGAAAATCTTTGGTAGTGTTCAAGCCTTCGAGGATTGATCGCAAAAGATCGTCGCAAAGCTTTGACCAATCATGAACTTTCGACATTGTCGATGACGAGAATGATGGGAATTAGGGTTTGGAGATTAGGGTTTGGTTTTTGAATCAAGGAAACAATTAATGGGCCTAGGCCCATCCAACTTATATTTGTTCATGTGTATACAAAAATTAATATGTTTGATTCATCAAATTTATATTGATTTTGTAGTTACTGCTGCTACTTAATTCCGTGGAGTAGAAGCATATACCTTAATTTCAAACGGAAGATTACGATGATGGCTTGAGGAATCTAAATTTCCGGAAACAAAATTATGCAACAAGTTTTAGGTTAGAGATTTAGATTAAATTATGCAACAAGTTTTTCAAATATTTCTCTGAAAATATCTCTACATAAATATTAAGATATTAAGAAACGGTTTAAGAAATCATGAACCTCATAGTCTCGAGATGGGTACAAAAGAGCTTTCAAAAAGAGAAAGCTATGGGGAAACGTTTTACAAGAAACATAGCAACAAAACTTGTAAAAACTGATACTGAAACTCGATATAAAGTAGAATAGTACTCGCACTGTTTCAAAATATAGGATGTTTAAGTTGAAAGCACATACTTTAAGAAATTCATTGTTGTTTTTAAAACTATTATTTAATATTTAATTTTTAAAAATCCAACCAATGATATAAAAGACTGCAGAATACAAATGGTCATAACACATCAGATACATTTAAAGGTTGCATAGAAATGTGTAAAACATCCTAAAACATCCAATATTTTGAAACAAAAAAAAAGCTCTAAAACATCTATTAATTTGAAACAGAGGGAGTATCATTTACCACATCAATAATTGATCCTTTTGGACCCGTGAAGTCCAAGGAAGAGCTCTGAGTCGGAATCTTCATCAGAACTCTCCGATCCGTCCATGGGAATTTAGATATAGGTGCTGTTCTAATGCCCGCTAATGGATTCCATAGGTATGAGAAGTCGTTAGAGAGACCCCCATATTGAGTATTATGGTTCGTGTAGGCGTTTGAGCTCGTATCTGGATTGGATCGACCAATGCTATAAGCTTGATGTGCCAACTGTACACCGGTCCTTGATTGATTGGTCGAACATGCTAAAGGATTACCTCTAGCATAAGTAGAATCTGCATTTTGACCCATGTTAAAGATGTCTCGCAGCGGGGGTACATCTAGACTAGATCCATCGGCCAAACCAGTTGTAAAGGAACTTGTGGCCCAGCCATGAGGAGTCTTGGTTCTATATGGAGGTTGTAAAGCCGGCCAACCAAATCCCGATATATCAGTTTTGGGAGCTAATGAGTTGTCTTCGCGCGTAAACTGGAACGTAAACCAAACCAAGCGAGCCATTTTAAACGAGATTGTCCGGATACTTTGTCATAGAGAGCTAGTGATTTGCCTCTTGATGATCCGGAACTCAAGCCATGCCAAGCCGGGTTACCATGATATATTTCAGATGGTACACTACGGATTTGTGATACATTGGCTGGGTTAGCTATTGAGCTGCCTCCTACGTTGAAACCTATTCTCTTTCTAGGTTGTGTTTTCTTGAGATTTTCCTGTGGAGTTGTGAGGATGCTTTTCTTAGGATACCCTAAGGCCGAAGAAGTCTCTCCTTGTTCAAAAAGATGATTGGGTTGATATTTTGCGGTCTGCTCAGTCGAAGAAATTTTGTCTAGCAATTTCAAGACATTGCTGACGATTGACCATATGAAACTGCTCTCCGAACTATCAACCAGTGAGATAAAGCAAAATGAGATTAGTTAGATTTCTAAAATATGAAACTTAATTTAATTTTGAGAAGAATATTTTCCATAACTTTTTTCTATCTTGCTCAAATCCAATGAAACTATAACAATCTGTCTAAATTAACATTTTTAGGATTTGTATTATATACATGAAGATACTATACATAAAAATTCGTCATCAAACATATTCCATGAGCTCCCTCTAAAAAATTATATGTATTTGGACAAACTGTCTCCAATTTCTGGATGCCTTACACTTTCTTTCTTGATCCCAAAAATGCTTCCCAAAATATCCTTTGAGTTGTTTTACGTCGCTTGTCACAACCTTATAGAAGATGGGAATTGCACCTTGCGATAGAACACAATTAAACACAATCTTATTTGCATTAGATAAGCTCAAAATATATATATCGTAAGTTTTCAAATAAGTCTCTTTTGCTAGATCATATATATTAATATAAATAAATAAAAATTAAACTCAAAATAATCTTGGATTGAAATCTAGACTAATCACCAGAAGTGCAACGGTCATATAAAATATGTAGAAACGATCTAATTGACATCAGCCAACATGAAAATTACCTAATAAAATACCAACACTTGTTTAAAACCAACATTTTTTTCTTCATTTTAAATTCTTTAGTTATCTTAAGAATCATCTTGGTCTCTCACCTTGAGCACCCCTTGATCTTGGCGCTCCTTGATCTTCGCCAGCTCGTCCAAGCACCATCTTGATTTCGTATACCTGCTCGAGAATGCAACAAGTGCGATTCTTGAATCTTCTATCCTCTTGAAAAGATTGTTGATACCTTGACCTTCATCCTCGCCTGGATATCGGTGACTACTTTGATACCTAAATCATTAAGGGCATTCACAAGACGGCTGATGAAGTTGTTGCGCAGATTCTTTCCGCGGAAGTTGATAAACACTTGATGTTGCGGTTGGGGCTGTTCTTTTTCGTCCATCGAAGACCCGGACCAATCTATGAGATTTCTTGATTTACCAAGTGATGATCAAGAAGAAATTTGTTCGATATGTTATAGTGGGAAGAAACATTAAACTTTATAGACCAAAAAAGTCTTTACCTGCCGCGTAGTCTACACACGGATTACATGCGTATAATTTTAGACGAGTTGATATTGGTCTTTTATTTAATAGTAATACAACGCAAATGTTATACTATAGCGAGTGCAGTGGAAATTTATACCGAATAATTTACATGATATTGATACGTGTTGACTTCAGTCTTCAGACCACCTTAAGATTACCAACCATTAAGGTTGTACAACATGCCACTTTTTGGAAGAAGTTGATTTGAATAATTCTTACAGGTTTTCCTATTAGAAATTGTAGAAATGAGTCCATTGTTGTTCATTCAAATGATTTTACGGTCAATTTTTTTTTTTTTTTTACGATCAAAATCAAATTATTATGGTTGTCCAATAAATAGTTACTTTCTTAGATTTAATTTTTTTTCTTTTTTTGGTTCCATTCATTCTCATTTTACACCTTTCACGCTGTCGAATATTATTATACACCTCTTTATTGTTTTTGACACTTGAATAATGAGTAATGTTTTGTTAGTAGTATTGAACTAGTCCTAGTTATGAGTTATGACCATACAATGATATCCCACATCATTCTTTGGGCAATATGTGTTGTGACAATCCTCTTTCCCTGAGATAGTTTTTGGGTGTGAGTTAGGTCATGCCTATCTTAGGACACATGTTTAAAGTGCTTTTGCACTGAGTCTTTTTTTTTTTTTTTTCTAATTTTCTTTCGATAAAAACGCCCTAAATTTTTAAAATTTTATAAAAAGGGTCCATCTTTTTTAGTTTTTATCCAAAATTTGGACACAAGATCCATAACAATTTTGAGACAGGCCTGAGGTAGGCCCACACTAATATAAACATAGTCTAAGTTGTATCATCAACTAATGTTCAATTTATACCTAATTGTTTTTTCGGTGCTAATATATACCCAACGTTTTAAATAATTCAAATTTTATAACCGAATTTATAACCAAACCGTGCGACATCATACATCATTTGTCACAATTACTGACGTGGATGTCACGTCCTTGATGACGTTGATGACATGGTTGCCACATCATCATATTTTAAAACAAAACTAGTAATAAAAAATTATTTACCCTTCTTTATTACTGTCATCCGACGAAACTGTGAATAATTTTTTTAATATAAGGATTTAAAATCTTCTTTTCAAAACTTATAACCAATATTTCAACCAAATCTAATATTTAAACCGAGTTTATAAATCCAAAATTCATAACTCTTCTTTAAAAATCTTCAAATCGCTTTCAGTAAAGAACAAAAACCCTACAATTATCTTAGTAAAACCTCTATAAATTAATAATGTTGGGACCATGATAATTTATTAATTTATAGTGATATTAATTTATCTATAAATTAATAATTATTAATTTATACTATAAATTAATATTTATTAATTTATAGTGAGTTTTTGTTTTTAATTTTTAAAACTTTTTTTAAAAATATGAGAAAAAATAATTTGATCTAAATAAAAGATTAAAAATAATGCTTTGGATGCTATAACTTTGGTAATTTTAGACTTGAATATTTAATATTTAGAAGAAAGATAATTTTTCTAAAACAATAATAACCAAGATTATAGATAAATTCACATATACAAAAATATGTAACATAGTGACTTCAACTGTTGTATTTGAAAGGCCATACGATTATTCAAATAAAAATTATACTTATTTAAATTTTGAAAACTTACATAAGTTAGCTATTTTATGAATAGAAATTCATTTTTAAAAACTACTAAAAATATATTATCTTTATATATATATATATAAATTCACATGATTATTAATTTATGATATTATTGGGACCATATTTTTACATAGGGATTTTGAAAAAAATTATTATCTTATTATCTTATCGAATTTGGTTAATTTTTACACTGGCCCGACTTGGGACCAGCAAAATTTATTATTTTATCGTGTTTATTAATTTATCGAGTATTAATTTATAGAGGTTTAATTGTATTAATCTTTGAAACCATTTTTTTTACATGTATTGTCATTGGAATAATTGTATTTAAGAATAAAATACAGTTTTTTATTAATTGTTATTGGGAATTAGGGTTGTTTGGATAAATAGATATAAGTTAAGATACAAAGACAGTATAACCACTAGTGAGAAATTGTATTTTGATCTTAATACAATTATAATTATTCAAATTGCAATACATGTAATTACGTTATCTTTGTTTGTTTTCAACTTAAAAATATCTTTCGTTAACAAATAAGATTATTGTAGGGGTTTAATAATATCTTTTGTAATTTTCACAGTTCCGTCATATAAAAATGATGGAGAAGAAGAAGCGGAAGAGAGCAAAAATTACTTTTATTTTTTGTTTAACAAAATGATGACGTGACAGCGATGTCTTGAAAGATGTGACATCCACGTCAGCAGCCGTGTATGATTTCATACGATTTGGTAAATTTGAGTATGAAATTTGAATGTTTTTAAAAAGTGAGTATATATTACTACAAAGAAAACTATTACGTATGGATTGAACACTGATAAGTAGGTAAGATATAAAATAGCCGACTTTCCGATTATTGGAGATTGGCGTCGGGTTAACCAACGGTTTGATACAATTGAAGACTCGGTTTACACGACTTGGTCAGCAAGCTGTTTTGAGCAACAAGTTAATCCCGGAGAATCAGTGACACTCCACAATATCAGCATAGTTGTTGTTGTTTCCGTAAATACATTGATTCATGTTTGTAAAGATCTTCTCTCTGACTTATATAAGCGTGTAACTAAAAGCTTAATACGACATAGAAATTTATTCTCAGACTCTGTTTCTTTACCGATTACCAACCTCATGTTAGCTAGATCTTATTTTGGTTGACTACCGAACTACTTTTAATGAATTTGTTTATTTATAAAGGCATAAATTTAAACCTATATAGATTTATGAAGAATAAGGAGCTAACGCTCTTAATATCGATAAATTTTGATGGTAGTAGTAAATTTGGTCGTTTCTCGCGATGGAATCTATAGATCGACACACTAAGGAACATTGATTGTATTTGCTCCGAGGAAGTTATCGATCAACAAAGGGAATGATGTCAATCATACACTAAAGAAATGTCGATCCCTTGCTTATTTTTTATTTTCTTTAGTTCTTTTTTCTCTATTTTGCTTCCAAAAATTCCAATCTTACTCTAAACTGTTTCTTTACATAATGACTCAACAAAAACTAAACACACTGAAAACATATTAAGAATTTTATTCAAAAGTAATAAAAATCCTAACATAAAAAAAAAAAACAACTTTGTTTTCCCAACTTGAAAATTAACTAAAGATTTCCCTATAACAAAAAGACAAAACAATTGTTGTCAAAAAAAAAAACAGAAACAAATTATTATTAGGCAAGACATATTGGGCCAATTAAAAAGCCCATTAAAACTTCAATTTACACATTGTGCATCATCATCATCTTCCTCGTTAACGATTTAGGTCTTCGTGTGACGACCAAATTAAACATTTCCCGGTGAAAATTTCGAAGCTCAAATATACAAACAAAAACATCGCGCCAACACAATTCATCTGATTTTTCCAAAAATCAAAACCTGAAAAATTCGAAAACCCGCCAAAATCCAATCTTTATTCCAAAAACCTCAAAAATGCCTCTTCGCATCTTCACCTTTTCTCTCCCCCTTCTCTCCTCCATCCTCATCCACCAAATCTCGATCTCAATCTCTCTCTTGAATCAAACCAATCATGGCCGACGAAAAGGAGAATTGCGTTAGAATGACAAGAGCAGCGACTAAAAGAAAAGCTTCAATGGAAGCGACAATAGACGAAGAACGAATCAACAAAAAGAGAGTCGTTCTCGGAGATCTTCCAAACTTGTCCAACATCAAAAAGCCTCGAAAAGCTACAAAGATTCTGACAAAACAGAAGAAAACAGTTTCGATTCCGACACTCGTAACCTTAAACTCAGACATTGATACAAGATCTGATGATCCTCAGATGTGTGGTCCTTATGTTACTTCAATCTTTGAGTATCTTCGTCAATTAGAGGTAAATAAACAAAACCCATCTCTAGTTTTTTAGATTCACAATTGAGTAATTTCTTGATTCATAATTTCAGGTGGAAGCAAAATCAAGGCCTTTGGTTGATTATATTGAGAAGATTCAGAAAGATATAACTTCGAATATGAGAGGAGTTTTGGTTGATTGGTTAGTAGAAGTTGCTGAAGAATACAAACTTCTCTCAGACACTCTTTATCTTGCTGTTTCTTACATTGATAGATTCTTGTCTCTCAAGACTGTTAATAAACAAAAGCTTCAGCTTTTGGGAGTTACTTCAATGCTTATTGCTTCGTAAGCTTTTTCTTGTTTTGTTTGAATCTCTTTTTTTTTTTTTGTGGGTTTTTGTTGTTTGCTTATTTTGGATTTTTGGTTTTGGAATTTTGTAGAAAGTATGAAGAGATTACTCCTCCAAATGTGGAAGACTTTTGTTATATTACAGATAATACTTACACGAAACATGAGATTGTTAAGATGGAAGCTGATATACTTCTTGCGTTGCGATTTGAATTAGGAAACCCGACAAGCAACACGTTTCTAAGGTTAAATTTTGATTCTTTTGGTGCTTGTTAAGTTCATTGTCTCATTGGTTAGAATCTGTTGCATAAGGCAGGTTTGGTGGTTATTGAGTTCATTGTCTCATTGCTTTTGTTTTGTGCAGACGGTTCACAAGGGTTGCACAAGAAGATTTCGAAGTAAGCTCTTCTTCGAAATTGTGGTATTTGCAATGGATATATTATCAGTTTTGCTAAGACTTTCTCTTATTTGTTTCAGATGTCACATTTACAGATGGAGTTTCTTTGTAGCTATCTTTCGGAGTTAAGCATGTTAGACTATCAATCTGTGAAGTTTCTTCCGTCTATTGTGGCTGCTTCAGCGGTGTTTCTCGCTAGGTTTATCATCCGTCCAAAACAACATCCCTGGGTAAAGCATTTTCTATATAGCAGTTCTTGTTCTAATTCTATATACAGTACTTTATCTAAGAAACTAAAGCTCTGGTGTTGAATGTAACAGAATGTAATGTTAGAAGAATACACAAAATACAAAGCGGGTGATTTGAAAGAATGTGTGGGTATGATACATGACTTGTATCTGAGCAGAAAAGGAGGAGCATTACAAGCTATAAGAGATAAATACAAGCAGCATAAGGTAACTAACTACTATGAAATAATGGTTTGAGTTCAATGTGAAGAACAATGTTCTTGAGATTTACACGTTTCTTTTTCTATTTGGTTCAACACAGTTCAAGTGTGTGGCCACAATGCCTGTATCGCCAGAGCTGCCTCTTACGCTTTTTGAAGATGTCAACATTTAGAGACAACTTTTGGTCATCAGCAAAGATTGTATAAAACCAGGAAGCGGTTTTGTTGGTTTCTTTCCTTGGTGTTTTGGGTTGTACATGTCTTAGGACTACTTCTAGTTGTGATTAAGGATCTTAACTTATGTTTAAAGATTTTGGCTACATTGTAGTTAATGAATTTTTTGTTTAAGCGTATACTCTTTGTTAGCATGTTTTCCCCTATTACCAAAGTAAACTTTGTTGTAGTTGAGATTAGTCACTAGATGAACCAAATTCTGTAATGACGAAATTAGCAAATAAGTGGCATAAATTCTCAGCACTTTCATAGATATCAAAAGCATCAACTGATTTGAGAAATATAATTCCTTTATAACAATAAACTATGAAATTAATCAGTGCAGTGTTCTTTGTCATGTGTCATTCCATCAATACAAGCGTATATATAAAACCATATTATAATGTTTGGTTTGGTTTACAAAACACTTCTAATTTTTTATATAATTTATTTTTTAATCAGCACTTAAAATAATGTTTTTTAATAATATCTTTCTCAAATCTCAGATTAGATTTTATTTTATATTCTTTCGTGTAAAATATATTAGATTTTATATATATATATATATATATATTTTTTCGATGATAAAGTTTCAAAGATTTTCTAATATCTAAAGATTTCGATCGATACTATGTGTAATTATCAAAAACAAAAGAAAATAATTTAATAGGTGATAAATGTGAAGTTTCCACGCGACTTTGACTCTATCGGAATATTTTCCACTATTTAATGTGCATGGGAAAGAAAAACTAAGAAGAAGAACAGAAGAAGCAATTCGATAGCGAAAGAGAAAGAGAAAGAGAAACACAGGTTTTGTCCAAAAAAAACGTATTCAATCTCTGTATTTTTTTCTTTTCTATGCAATTAAATCACCCACTTCTTTACCTTAATCATGATTTATACCATTAATCCCTAAATCTCTAAAGTATCTCTCCTTCCTTATTTTTCTCTCTTCGTATTTAATTTGTTGAACAAAAAAAAGGTTTGTTTCTTATTTACCTAATATAAATTTCTTTCTCTTTTTTCTGTTTCTTTAGATTTTTCAGCTTCTTCTTCTTTCTTTAACCATGGACAACAAGTTTAACGGCGAACGCAACATCTGGTCAACGGCGACGGCGGCGGAGGAGAATCTGTCAACGGCTTCGTCGTCTTCTCAGTCACAACCACCGCGGATGCAGTCGCTTCCGTTTTTACCACCGGAGAATCACATCCACAGAGCTAATGGTTTCTCAAGTCATGATTCTGATTTGCAAACCCTAGAATCATCTTTTGGTGGGCTTTCTTTTGCAGATTCATCAACTGTTCGTCAGAACGGTACTCGTAGACGACCCCGTCCCCGTCACTTCTCCGGCGATGGTGGTGGTGGTGGTGGTAGTGGTGTTAATGGTGGTGGCAACTTGTTTCCTCCGAGTGGTAATCTTTATCACCACCGTGAATTAGAAGAGTACTTTCAAAGGTTTAATCTGAATCAGCAGAGATTGTCGTATCAGAACAATTGTGTTAATCAATCTTATGGCTATGATACGCTTGACAATGGTTTCTTGAATGGAGTTCCTTATGCTCCAAGAAACCATGTCTCTGATGAAAACCCTTGGGGTTACATCAATCAAGATCAGATGGAGAACAGGAGAGGCTCGCTCTATGCCATAGCAAAAGACGCAGTGTGGAGCAAGAAGCTGTTGGAGACTATCTATCAGGGTACTAAAGAGACGATTGATACGATTTTCGACCGTATTATTGTCCATATTTGTGAGTTGATGGTGGATCCTTATGGTAAGGATGTTGTTATGCTGCTTATTGGAAAATGCTGCTCTGAACAAATCATTCAGATTGTTGATCTTGTCACTCAGGACATGTTTCAGTTTGTTAACATATGCTTTGATCTGCGCGGGTACACACTTCTTGATTATTCTTGTTTTAACTTTGAGATATGATTTGTGATTGTTATGCTTTTAATTTGTAATTGTCTTTGTTTTGGAGATATCAGAACCGCGGCAATACAAGAGCTGTTGGACAGTATTCATAAGCGTGCTAATGATCAAATCCCGCGCATCATGGATCTTATCAACTCGGTAGGACTTCAATTGGCAAAGAGCAGCAATGCTAGATTTCTGATTCTCTCATGCTTCCGCCTGTTTCCTCTCTCGCACTGTAGGGTAAGCATCTCATTCACTCTAGTACTCTGCTTCAGTTCTCGATGGTTTGGTTCTTTGCTATGGAAATATCTCAAAACCGATATAGAATCTTTATAGTTGAAGGAATATACTGTAGCAACTCAAGTAGATTAATGAATTTGATATTTTAGTTTGCTTGTTATCGGTTAATTGTGCAATGTCTGTTTTCTTCAGTTCCTAGAATCTGTATAGCATTTTTGTAGCTAAGAACTAACCTTAGTAACTTTCTTTATTGTGGTACAAGTAAAATGAGCGATTATAGACCCTGAATCACAGGTTTAACCTTGTTCGCTAGTATTCTTGAGCAATGACAATCTTTCTTTTGTATTTACAGTATCTTCTTGAAGTTGTCGCTCAACATTGTTACGAGATATCGATTGATCAAAATGGCTGCTGCTTGTATCAGCAATGTTTGGACAAGAATCGTGTTCCGAATCCTGAGATAAGGCAACGTTTGATTTCGGAAGTAATCTCTCATGCGTTGAGACTCTGCTTGAACTGCTACGGGTAATGATACACAACTCTACAATCATATACTTTCTCATATATCCACTTTATTTTATAACTCACAAGTATGTTCTCTCCTTCAGAAACTATGTGGTTCAGTATATCGTGGAGCTCAATAATCAACATGTGATAAACGCGCTCGTGAGACAGCTAATAGGGAACTATGCACACCTTGCCCGCAACAAGTATGGAAGTCATGTTGTGCAGAAGTTGTTGAGACTAAGGGGTGTTGACACTAGGTTGATTGTGGTTGACTTACTTAGTCAGATTGATACACTTCTTCTTGACCCGTTTGGAAACTATGTCATTCAAACCGCGTGGTTTGTGTCTAAGGTAAGGCCCTACATTTGTTTGATTGCGGTTATGGGGTTAGAGATTTTATGCGAGATTTTGAGAATCTTGTTTGGTGTGTTTTGCAGGACGATGTGCGCCACATGTTGAGGTATCATATAGAGCTTAACATTCGATTGATGAGGTGCAACAAATTTGGGAACAAACTTCTGGAGAAACTCAGTATCTAGAGTTCCAATGGTAGAAAAGAAGAATTTTTGTGTTTTGGTATTGTTTTTGATCGATTCATTGTATGTTTTTTTGTGTATTGTTTTCTCAGCATTTTTTTCTTAACTTTAATTCTACTATCACATTTGTCAAACACTATTTTTCTTATCTCCATCTATTTAAACTACTAACCAACACATTACCAAATTTTGATATTCGTAACTTTACTTATTATTACCAAATTAACTATTTCGATTTTTCTATATATTAAATGCTTAGATTATTTTTGCACTTTAAATTAGAATATAAATCATTCATTTGTATATGGCTTAAAAATTAACAAATTTAAATACTACTCCCTTTGTATATAAGAGGTTTAAAGTAAATGCATATATATTTAGATAATTTATTTTCAAAACATCATTTATATTTAGTTAAAAAAAGTTCAACTAATTACAAAAATGACTGCAAAATATAAATAGTCTTTTTTTTTCGTTTTTCATGCAGAATATAAATAGTCATAAGTTATTAAATGCATTTAAATTTACATTGAAACTTGTAAATCATTTTATAATATAAAACAAAATAAAATCTCTAAAACACCTAATATAATGAACAGAGGAAGTATACAACATTAGTTTAAACATTCTATTTTTTCTTCCAATATTAATGAATTTAGTTTTTCAAAAAAATATCAACATTTAGTTCTAAAAATTTTAGCTATTTTAAATTGAAATACCATTAAGCTATGAACCCACGACGGTCACACCAAGTCAATTAAGAGACCCAATTATTTGATAGATACTACGTAAATAAATATCTTTACTATTAAAAAATTATATATATATATATGTATACAAAAACTAAATAGACTAAGATTTGTCCGTGCATAGCAAATGTTTTTACCTAGTTTATTATTAAACACAAAACCGGGACTAGTCGGCTGAATTGGTTTAGCGGATACCAGTTTCGTTTGGTCCTCGTCAAAACCCTTATCAAAGGTATATGACCATGAGTATTTTACCTAAGGATATATTTTTCTTTAATTTTTTTTTATTATAATTAACAATCAATATCATATAGAGTGTAACATTCGATTGATGAGGTGCAACAAATTTGGGAACAAAATTCTGGAGAAACTCAATATCTAGAGAGTTCTAATGGTAGAAAAGAAGAATTGTGGTGTTTTGATTGATTCATTGTATTGTCATTGGTTACACTATTCATTAGCCGTTGTTGATTTCTTTTAGGTGAGAGTTCTTAGGGCCGGGGTTTTAACTTTTGTTAAAGCATAGGCTATAGTTAGACACAGCCAGACAATGCTCTCACCAAAACGAATGTCTTTGTCTTAATTGTGAGATTTAGGTGTTGTGTTGTGTTCTGCTTTTTTTTTTTTTTTTTTTTTGTCATCTGTAATTAAATATTACTCAAAAGAGCCATTCTTGTGGAATGTTGTTTACATAAGTGATATGAAGCGGTTCCGTACGAATTTTTCGTGCCAGATTATCCGCTTTTGCATTTGCACAACGAGAAATTAAAGATAAAGAGAAGGTAGAGAACTCTTCCTTGTCGCTCTGAAATTCCTCCAGATACAGTGAGAAGGCCGGCCATTCGGTTGGGGAAGACACCATCTTCACCAGGTCAGAACAGTCTGTAAGGAATGCTACCTCTTGATTATCTGCACCAATCATACACTTCATCGCCCAAAGGAGGGCCTCGAATTCGGCATGTAGCGGAGATAGGCTTCTACGGAGGTTGGCAGCTCCCATTGTTGATGGCTCACCATTTGATGGTGTACAAAACCACCCTATCCCGGAAAACTTGTCGCTGTCTTTCCAGGATCCATCCACAAAACAACGGTATCCTGTAAAATCCGAATCTAGGGACACCCCCCTCGTTTGAGGCCGATTTGGAAATTCCACTGAAGCCTGAGTTTCAGTATGAAGCTCCACTTGAGCTGAGTGCCACAATTGTGCCTCTCTTTCCGCTAACCGTAAAACCTCTAACGGATCGTTATCCACATTTTCAAACAATTTTTCATTCCGTGCTTTCCAAATATACCAAATAATCCAAGGAAAAGCTATAGAATCAAACTCCGATGGTATTCTCCAAAATAAATGATCCAAATTTGCATAAATAGAATCTGTGGGAAAAGTCCCCATAACCGTAGGAATCTGAGAAAGTGCCCAAACCTGTCTTGCAGGATGGCACTGAAAGAGTGTGTGATTGACTGTTTCCTCCAGTGTACCACATCTAGCACAACCAGTGTCACAATCAATTCCTCTTTTTCGTAAGTTCTCTGTAACCGGTACACAACCCGTTAAGATTTGCCATAAAAAATGACGTATCCTAGGTGGACACTGTACTTTCCAAGTATGAGCCTTTAGCTTATTGAAATCTGGCCCAATGAAAGATGAGTTGGTTTCCAACTTATCCAACCGTGCGGTATGATACCCCGACTTAACTGAATATTTGCCGGATTTTGTAAAATGCCAACCCAAAGTGTCCTCCTTGGTTGGCGCACCCACCGGTAGTGTTATGCTTTTTCTCTATGTAAAAGATTGAAATTATTCAAAGTTTAAGATTCATTTATGATTTATTTGTCTTTTTCTTATGTTTTTCTATCATTGGTTACTAGGTCAACCTCTTTTGTTTCTCCTGTTTGCTTTACAATAATAAGGCGTAGACGTTTATAATGTTTTGATGAAATTTCTGTAGGAATTATTGGACTTTTTATTCTAACTTAGTCTAGAATTCTATCGTGGGTTTTTATTAGCATCATAAATGTTTATTGGGTCTTTCGTTAAATACAATGGGCTGCTTTTGTTCATATTTTATTTAATGCGAAAAATGCAAAATTAAAAAATGATTATTGGTTGTAAATCCTAATGCTAAATGCAAATACAATGGGTTTTTTTTTTGTGCATTGTTTTCTCAGCAATTTTTCTTAACTTTAATTCTACTATCACATTTGTCAAACAATATTTTTCTTATCTCCATCTATTTAAACTACTAACCAACACATTACCAAATTTTGATATTCTTAAATTTCCTTATTATTACCAAATTAACTGTTTCGATTTTTCTATATATTGAATGCTTAGATTATTTTTGCACATTAAATTAGAATCTAAATCATTCATTTGTATATGGCTTAAAAATTAACAAATTTAAATACTACTCCCTTTGTATTTAAGAGGTTTAAAGTAAATGCATATTTATTTAGATAATTTATTTTTCTTTTCAAAATATCATTTATATTTAGTTAAAAAAAGTTCAACCAATTACAAAAATGACTGCAAAATATAAATAGTCTTTTTTTTTTCTTTTTTCGTGCAAAATATAAATAGTCATAAGTTATTAAATGCATTTAAATTTACATTAAAACTTGTAAATCATTTTATAATATGAAACAAAATAAAATGTCTAAAACATCTAATATAATGAACAGAGGAAATATACAACATTAGTTTAAACATTCTATTTTTTCTTCCAATATTAATGAATTTAGTTTTTTCACAAAAATATCAACATTTAGTTCTAAATATTTTAGCTATTTTAAATTGAAATACCATTAAGCTATGAACCCACGACGGTCACACCAATTCAATTAAGAGACCCAATTATTTGAATGATACTACATACATAAATATCTTTAGTTTTAAATATATATATATATATATATATATAACTAATTAGACTAACATTTGTCCGTGCTATGTTTTTACCTAGTTTATTATAAAACACAAAACCGGGACTAGTCGGCTGAACTGGTTTAGCGGATACCAGTTCGTTTGGTCTTCGTCAAAACCCTTATCAAAGGTATATGACTGATACTAAGATTTTTGTTATCAATTACCCTAGATTACTATCATGTCATTGCAGTATAAAGGGGTTATCAATCCAATCAGGTGCTCTCACTATCAATCAAGATATGCTCAGAGATAACTAAGTCAAGCCAAGCAGAATAGAGGTTTGTTTATCTAACAATCCTAAGCGAACATGCATAAAAACGATAAAACTACAGAACAGGAGTGAACATGCATAAAGAGAAATAGCTATCGATACTAAGCAATAAGCAAGCAGCAAGTGCAGAGAATAGGTAAACAACAAGTAAGCAAGATTCAAGCAATCAATAGAGATAAAAGGTCTTGAGGAATGGGGTAATCGATTATAGCAGTCTCCTTAGTCTATCTAGGTGGTTAACAAACTCAATCAAGCTATCCCTAGACAATAGATTCGTATACAAATCAATCCACTCTCGTGACAGAGATTCTCAAGCTAAATCACTTTCATACTTAATTCTCATT